TGATATCATTTAAGATGGGTTTTAAGTATAGGCCTAAAGACAAGAAAACTTGTCTATTATCAAACAAGTAATGTTGACATTACTCAAAATACTCAATTTAGCAACTATCTTATTTAATCATTTCTTGTTTTATCTTAATTAATTGATATGAAGAACAGGAATTTTTCAAAATTACTTATCAATTTTAATAGACTGGTTGCCCGTCGGATCCCCTATCTTAAAAGCGTTGGATAATTTTTAAACTTTCATTACAGAAAAAGAATTTCTGTTGATATTATGGCAAATTTAAAAATTCTATTCCTATTTGTCAGTTGTTTAATATCAAAAATTACTGGCTTTTGTAATTTAACAGATACGGATCCTGTAAGAAATATTAATAGGGTTCAATTGGTAAATAACAGATACGAGGGTTTGTTAATAGCAATTGATCCAAGATTGAATGAAGATCCGAGAATTATTGACGGAATAAAGGTAATTATAGAAATTTAAGATTTCTTCAATCAATTAAACTCTATTTGAAATTTTAAAAATTATTTTAGAACTATTTCGAAGAGGCTTCCAGAGATCTTTTCTTCGCTACGAACAACAGAGCATTCTTAGGAAAAATTACTATCCTTGTACCGCAAAGTTGGAGATCAACCAACGCTAGCCTCGCCCTATCCGAAAGTATTGAAAGGGGACACGTTTTAATTGGCCAATCTACAAGGGAATGGGGTGATAATCCGTATACTTATATGAAGGTCGTTCAAAACTTCAATTTACCTGAATTTAGGTCATTATCTTTTTTGTACTCTGCTAGGGAGGACCTTGCGGAACGCCTGGTGAATATATATACCTTACTGATAATTATATAAAAGACAAGGCTACATCGGAAAGGTTATTTGGACCAATTGGTAGGTTCTACCTAAAATAATTCAACATTTTTCATTAAAGACCATTTTGAATAAAACTTATAGGAAAGACTTTGGTTCACGAATGGGGTCATTTACGTTGGGGTCTTTACGACGAATACAATTGGCAGTATAACGTACCAAATTGTTATATTACTCCAGATGGCAGGGTTAGGGAAGTAAAATGCGCTAAAGCTATTACCGGTGAAATTGTCTATCATCAGCGAACATGTAGATTTATACCAGGTTCTAATCAAGAAAGCGAGGCGTCTATGATGTATATGCATCATTTAAGATCAATAACAAAATTTTGTAATAAAACTGGATGGGATGGTTTAGCTCATGATCGAGAGGCTCAAAATCCTCAAAATCGTATGTGTAATGGAAAAAGTTCATGGGAAGTTATGAACAATCATCAAGACTTTGAAAATGGAAATAATAAACCAATCCACTCGGAATTTTTCAGAAAACCCGAATTTAAGATAGTAAGAGCGGGATCGTTAAGAATTGCTATGGTATACGACGTCTCCGGAAGTATGGTTAGTTAATTTAGTCAAGATATTCATTAGAAATAGTGTCTCTCTCTCTCTTTTAGGACGGACCTCGTTTAGCCACTTTACAAAGAACAGTAAGAAGATTATTTCTTAGTAAAACGATATTTGGAGCTTTTGTTGGCAGTGCTGAATTCTCTACACAAAGTATAATTACACACAATATGACTAGGGTGATAACTGATGATCATAGACAATCGCTTATTAATAAAATACCGCTAAGAGCAATCGGAGCTACATGTATTGGATGCGGTCTACAAGCTGGTTTACAGGTAGATAATTAATCATTAACTTTTCTTTCCCATCTCTCCTTCCCAACTTCTTGAATATTATATTATTCTTCAAATCTATCCCTTTAGTTATTAAGCCAAACCGAAGATGGTACAAATGGAGGAGCGATAATTATCATTACGGATGGAGAAGAAAATAAAGAACCATGGATACGGGAAGTAGCTGAAGAGGTATTGCAGTCGGGAGCCAGAGTATTTCCACTTGTAATGATACAAGACTTTAGTCCCGATCTGACTAGATTGGCATTATGTTCTGGTGGAAGACCTTTTGGATATTCTGATCAAGGAGACGCTAGCGACATGTATGACGCTATTCAACAGATTATGCAATTATCTGCAACAGAAAATTCTACTATTCCAATAATGGTATTCTATATTTTTACTTTTTTTAACTTTCAAAATTTATCTTTCATCTATTAATCTAATAGATCAGAAGTCAAATTTCAACAATTTCTCCAAATAATGAGGTTGAGTTAAAGGTCAAGGTCGATTCAGCAGCATCTAAAAATTTAGAGATTGTATTTACAAATACGGGTTGTAGTGGTACAACTGTTGTTATTAAACTTCCTTCCGGTGAGATTCTAAATAAAACTCGTCTTAACGAAGTAGAGAAAGCGTTCCGTTATGAAGATAAGATGGTAAGTATTTAAATGATCACTTACCATCTTATCTTCATAACGGTAAGTAAGTATATTTATCTGTAAATTTAGGCGGGAATTTGGAATATCACATTGAATAATTTAGGCTTAGTTGAATGCAAAACTAAAATGACTGTTGAGATGTTTTCTCCAAAGAGCAATGTCAATGCAGTTACACTAACAACAACTCTTAGTAGCGATACTTTGGATTTTGCTTCTGGTAAATTATTATTCTTTATTTCTCCCTTCAACATTACCTTTGAGTGTTTTATTTCAAAAAGGTTCTACACCTAGATTAAGTCTCCATGGGACCGTTCGACAAGGTAGTACACCCATAATTGGCGCCATAGTTGAAGCCGTCATAGAAACGTCCTTTGGTGAGGTAATTAGCCAAAAACTATTGGATAATGGAGCCGGATCAGATTTTCAAAAAGACGATGGCGTCTATTCAAGCTATTTTGTTGATTTTCGCGGAGAGGGAATGTATAGTATTAAATTTGAAGTAACCAGTGATAAAAATAAGACTAAAGCTCTTTTAAAGTCAAGATCCTATGGATCTGGCGCTCCTCCAGTAAATCCTCAATCCAGTAAGATTTAACCAATCACCTTTTCCTTAAATAAACTTTAACCGAGTATTTTATTTTTGCTGTTTAACAAAAAGTAACTGAAACAATTGAAATTGAGCCTATTGAAGAGTTTGAAAGAAATACAATAGCTGGAACCGTCAATGTAAAAAATTTGGGTACTGGAAATGCTCAGCAGCGATATCCTCCCGGAAGAGTTACAGACTTATCAGTTCTAGAGGTTAAGAAGCAATGGATTGTTGATTTATCATGGACTGCTATTGGTGCTCATTTAGATACTGGAAAAGGTTGAATTTTGCAGTTTAATACTATAATATCAAAAATACTAATTGAATACTTTTCTAAAAATAGCTGCCAGGTATAAGATCTATCACGGAAAAACTGTTAATGATATAAGGCAAAATTGCACTGGAACTTGTTCTGAAACACGAGCAGATATGATTATGTCTGGAAACCTAACTAATCCAAAAGAACCTGGTAGTCAAGAATTATTTAAAATAGACTTCAACAAGTTAAATTTAAATAATAAAGATTCACTTTTCGTTGGTTTAAAAGTAATCAATAGTTTTAATATCGAAGGAGAAATTTCAAATATTATTGATTGCCGATACATCATTCAAGCTGCTCCACCTCTAGCACCTCCTGCAGATAACAAATCTAAAAAACTATCCGGTGGAGCCATAGCCGGAATAGTAATTGGTTGTATTGCATTTATTGCCATAATTACAGTAATAGTTGTAGCTATTAAAAAGAAATCTGACAATTAAACTGATACAAATGTTTTGAATTTTTAAATTTTTTAAATATTTTAGATAAATAAATAATAAAAAAAACGATTAATTTAGCTTATCAAGCGATAATAAAAATGGTTTTAATCAGAGATTAAGCTTGTTTTACCATTAAACAAAGTACACTTTGAGAAATTTGGTTTTTGTGTTATTTTCATACTTTTTATCTTTTTATTAAAAATTTTGGATATCATTCTTTATATTTTAATGGATTGCTTGATTGATTGATTAATCTTTGTTCATTCCATCCTTTCTATTGAATGATTGATTGAATACAATATATGAATATTTTATTGAATGATATTTGGTTTTATAATTTGTTTTGTAGATATCAAATGACAAATGTAATGATTTTATCTGCTAACCATTCTTAATCGGGGTCGGGTGTGAACCTACCTGGGTACTAACGTACCCCAGGCGAGTGGGCGTATTTTTAATCATTCTATTTAAGGAATCTGAAAGATAACTTTTAAAAAAAGAGAGATGTGATTTTATTTTCTTTAAATGAAATATTATAATTATCTTATCTTAATAAATTATCATCAATAATCCATCAACACTTGCTTCAACATTTCTCAATAGATCAGACTGAAAAGATTGTATGAACTGAGTAGTTTTATACTCGGAAGATAGAGGGCAGAGTAATCAACTATATTGAACAATTTTTAACATATCACTTAATATTAAAAAAATTGATCATCTTCTTCACAGAGACTTCATGGTGTTGTAAATGAAATCTTTACTACAGGATTGTTGCTACTCTCCCCTCCCTCTCTCTCTCTCTCTATGTCTCTTCATAAATAAAATATTATTCAACATTGTGTTCCTATCAAAAAGAGATGGATTTTATCTTTGTCTTTCAAAACAAAGAGTAATGCTAATTTGCAATCCAATTCCATTGTAATTTCTGAACAAAGGATATTTACTCTAAGCCTAATCTAACAGTTTGCAAATTACTTTCCATATGGTTATCTCTCCAATTCCCTAATCTTAAAAATGTTCCTGTTCTAAAATATATTTAGATATTTCATAGTTTGCACTAAATAAACCTTTGAATTAGTGAACTCTGTTATACTTTTTTTTAAAATAAATATAAAAATAGACATTTTATAGCCAAGTTAATTACTCAAGATTATTATATGTATAAAAAAGCGGGCACAGCCTTGATAAGGGCTTATTTAAAATGTGCTTCGACATACCTTTTATACTTGTTTATAGTGAATGTTCAATATACTATTCAAAATAATTTATGCAAACATTTTGGATATGACAATAATCATATTGTTGTTGATAAATGTATTGAAAAGGAATGTTTTCCATTGATCCCAATTTTCTCTAAGAAAAAAATAATTTTTATTGTTAATTAAGTTGGCAACAATAGACTGGTTCTTTGCTGAATATTTAATATAATATTTTGTATTATAGTACGGAATTTGATATGTTGGTAATGTAAAAATAACATGAAGTATATTTCACATATCACAATTTCATCTCTGCGTCAAATGTTTTAAAATTAATGTTCCACGTAAAATTTGAAATTTTAAAATAAGATAATTTCTAAAAATATTTCCATTCTTTTTTTGCAGATATTTTTGCAAATCAAATATCATTGAAAAAATTTGTAATACTCTATAGATTTAGGAAACAATCATCCTATTTGGTTAGTGAGAAAAACTTGACCTTTAAGCAGTGTGAATCTGTTCAATTTTTAAAATATGAAAATTACATTTTTGTTCAAAAATATGAAAAATTTCTATCATTTCAAAATAATACAATCAATACAAAAACTTGGTATTCTGATAAAAATTCAAAAAATATATCATGTGACTTTAGAGATATTCGAGGTTTTTTTTTAAAGATTTATTTTAAAATGTTTAAAATGACAAAACATTACGTTTTTAGACGCGAAATTTTTATTAAAAACTATACCGAAATATAAGTATATTCGGAATAAACTCCATACTGATTTCAGTGTCGAAATCTCCTCCAAAACATATGGAACATTACTTGCAGTTTTTGATCCAAAGTATGAAATGTATAGTAGTACTCTAAAGAGATTATTATGCAAGGAGAAAAATCTTATACCTTCACCAGCACTGGAAAAAACTGGAAAAATAAAAAATGAAATTGTGATTTTAAAAAATTTTGTTGTTAAAAATAAAATCAAAACAATTTTGTTTTGTTCTAGAAAGAATGTTCAGAAAATAACCCAGATTCAAAATTTATTGTATAGAAGTTTTAAGTTATTTTTTTAAAAAAAAAAAAGGGAATTGTATTGGCAAATTGTGATTTGTCAAATGATTATCTATTTGGTTGTCATTTTAAACATATTTCTTATGGATACTATTTTACAGAATTAGCTTGTGAAGTTAATAAAAATTTTCAAGGTTTATTGCTTATGAACAATTCAATTAAAATCTAATTTCACCTATTTTTTAGAATATACTGTCAGATTGAGTTCATCAACATTTTACTATTACAATACAAAATCAATAAAGACTTTGAGCGAAATTTCAGGATATCTTCAAATTTTCATATATAATGAGTGGAGGAATATTTTAATTTTTGGAATGAAACATTTCATTCCAAAACTAATTTGTAAATATTTTGGGTTTCAAAATGGATATTTAGATCTTTTAAACAAATTGAGATCATTTAATCTACAGTTGATCTCTTCAGTTGATATTAATTGTAATTTAACAAGTCAACAATTGAAATTTTGCAGTTTTACACCATCATCAAAATTATATTTGTTAGTTATAAACATTCCTTTCTTCTTTTAGCATTTAAATTGTAAATATTCTTGTTTAAAAAATAGAAGAGAGAATTTAAAAAACACAATTTCATCACAAGCATTTACAATATACTGCTCAAATACAAAAACAATTGGTTGGTATTTCCATATATCTGTATTGAAATTTCTCTTCATCTCTCTTTCTCTCTCCCTCATTCTAGATTGTCAATATGAAAATTCAATTAGAATCTCTTATCTTTGTTATAAATTTTTCAAAGATTCTGAAATATTATCACCTTTCAAAATGAAGGAAAAATGCTCAAAAAAAAATTTAACACTCATAGATGAATCCTACAAGAGATACGTTGACGTTTTTGCCACGCTCAACTTTTTCTATAAAAACTTATTACTGAATGAAAAATCTCAAGGATATAATAAAAATGTATTCTTCACTGTAAACAATAAGCTTAATTCAACAGTAAAAAATATAAAAACAATTAAAACACCATCGAATCTTCCATTCACTTATATATCATCTGTCCAAGAAAGATCTAGAATATGTTTTGTATAAGCACAATTCAAATCTTTAATACATAATGTTGTTTTTTTTTGTTTATAAATATCTTATAGCAACTAGATTAGTATACTATCACGATTTTAATTACGAAGAGGCATCTTTAAATCCGTATGATCAATGTTACGTAGTTTCAAAAACACATATAAATGATTTTAAAATTCAAAATATTTATGTTCGAAAGAGAGCAGTATCTTGTGTATTACCTTCAACAAAGTATTATATTTGCCAAAATATTCTTGGTATTGAATTTTTGTTCTTTTGATCTTTGATTTTAAATAACTTTTTATCCATTTTTAAACAGCTTTAAAGAGAAATATCTCAAAATCTATTGGTGAAACTTATCATAATTTTTCAAAAAATAGTTTCCGGTGCAAATTTTCTGATATTCTTATAAGTCACACTCAAATATGTGATGGTATTCAAGATTGCTCATTTGGTGAAGATGAGGAAAACTGTTTAAATCAATTTCAATTTACTTGTTTAAACAATTTAAAACAGAAAATTCCATTTCAATTTGTTTGTAATTTTAGAAAAGATTGTTCTGATGGATCCGATGAAAAATTTTGTTCTGAAACTACTCAATCTTCAAATTCAAACTTGTATAAGATTAAAAATATTCAAAAAATATCTCAACGGGTATATTTTATACATTTTGAAAATTTCACTTCCATTTCAGATTTAAATGTGACAAATGGAGATATTTGAATAGGAAGCAAGTTTGTGATAATCAATACAACTGCTTTGATAAAACAGATGAAGATTGTATTAATTATTGGAATGATGATAATAAAAAATTTGAAAGTAATCTAATTAATTATACTTTTTTTTTTTACATTTGACCTAATTAGGACATGATTGTTTACTTTTTTCAAGAATGTAGGTCAACTACTCAAATCCAATGTCTAGATCATTGTTTACCCCTTCATATGAATTGTGATAATTTTGTACATTGTGAAGACAGATCGGATGAAATCTCTTACTGTAGCCAAATTGTTGGAAAGGCATCAATGTGAATTAATATTTAAACTATTTAAAAAATAATTGTTAACTTTTCAAAAATAATCCAAAAACATTTTAGAACAGGATTCTCAGAGAAATTTACTCTGGTGACAAAAGAGACGAAATGTAATATTATATATGAGTCAACTGGATATTTAAGGACTAAAGTTCATTTTCCAAATTTTCCGTATGGAATATTCAACTGCCATAAAAAATCTTGTCCAGGAGCATTTCTATGCATAGAACACCAATTTTGTATACAAATTGAGAATGTTTGCGATGGTACAAATCATTGTTGGAGTAATGAAGACGAACAAAATTGTGGTATTCTGTTTTGCAGTTCTTTTTGCAGTCGTTGATATTTTTTTCAAATCTTAGAGACTTTTCAGCCAAAAGGATATTTTAAATGTCAAATGGAGGAGAAATTTCTAAATATTAGCAGAGTTTGTAATGGAACAATTGATTGCGAGTATGGAAATGATGAAATATTCTGTCCAAGGAATATTACTACTTGTCCAGAATACTGAAATTGCTTTCCAGTTTATCTATGGAAATGTTCAAATGTGTTTGATTCTAATAAATTATCATTCGTGAATGAAAATCAAGCAAATATGATAAAATACTTGGCTATTTCAAATTTAATAAATATAAAAGATCCTTTATACTCCAATCAACTGACCTATTTATCTATAATTGATAGTAGCCTATTAGACTGGTCCTCCAATATCAATATTTACTTTCCAAATTTAGTATTTTTAATTTTGAAAAAGAATGGAATAAGACAATTCTATTTAACAAAACTGAATGGAATAGGATATCTTCTCCAATATCTTGATATTTCACAAAATCCAATAGAAGACATGGTATTTGGTGTGAATGTAAATATGTTAATCTATCTGGATATTTCATTTACAAATTTGAAATCATTGCAAAATCTACATTTTAAATTTATGAAATTATTAAAAATTTTAAAAATTAGAAATTGCAATTTAAAATATGTGCAGCAAAATTCTTTTAAATATTTAAATAATTTGGAAGAATTACATTTAAATGATACAGTTTTACCTTCAAATAATCATGGATATTTAATTAAATATCAAACAAATTTAAAACAATTGTACAGCAGATATTTTGTACTATGCTGCTATTTATTCGCAATGAAATCTCCTAATGTTCAATGTTCACCTGCAAAATCTATTTATAGCTCCTGTTCAGATTTATTACGTCATAATTCTATAAGATCTATGTATTGGTTAATTGGATTATTGGGATTTGTTGGTAATATAATTTCAATTGCTTTTAGAATAAAATCATTTTCTAGACCTTCACATATATTTTATTTGTTATTATCAATCTCTGATTTGATTACATCATTGTATCTTTTATCTATTGGTCTAGCAGATTTACACTATAACGATAGGTTTTACAAATATATGTCTAATTGGACATCTGGCTATCCTTGTAGAACTATTGGATTTTTAATGAATTTTTCATTAATATTTTCAATGGTTAATTTACTTTTAATTACAGCTGAGCGATATTGGGCAATAGTATTTTTAATGCGTAAAAAGATTGAAAAAGTGGCAACTTTATCAATAGCAGCCTTTTCTTTTCTATTATGCATTTGCCTAGCTATATTTCCTATTTTATATTACAAAGTAATGTTTGTTTTTTTAAAATGATAAATCTGATGAAGATGAAAGCAGCTATCAAAGGGTAAAGTATTTATTTTCATTCAATTGCCAATTTAATTAAGTTGATCATGTGACCATAATTTTTATCTAAAAAAAAAACTAAAAATTCAGAATTGA